ATATGAGCAAGCAATTAGACCATTTTAGTATTACTGCATAATTGTACGTGTGTTTGCTATCCTCCATCCAGGCCCTCAATCTCACCTGCAACATTTCGGGCGACCCCGTGCCAGAGGTCACCTGGCTGAAGAACGACAGGGAGATCACGTCCGACGAACACTGCATTCTCAAGTTCGAGTCAGGCAAGTTCGCCAGCTTCATCATCACCGGCGTCAACATCTCGGACTCTGGCAAGTACAGCATCCTGGTGAAGAACAAGTACGGCACGGAGAGCGGGGACTTCACCGTAAGTGTCTTCATCTCTGAAGAGGCGGCCAGCAAGAAAAAATAAAGGCGGTCCAAATATTGTCGTAAATATGTATAAATGAAAAAAACACTGGAAACAGTTCAAAAAGAGAAACAAAAGTGGATGTGTTGTAGAATATAGCATTTAAAGGTGCTGAGTCTGAAATGAAATGTCAACAGAAGTTAAGAAAGATTGCGGTGATGAGTTAGAATCATAAAAATACACATTTGGTCAACAATAACAAATCTAACATCATGTCCACTCAAAAATGTTACTGGTGCAATTTTTGTTTTTCTTTGTGTAAAGTTGTGGCATGCAGGGAGGCAAATGTTTGCATTCATATTACTTATGAAACATTACTTGACAAAACAATGCCAAATATATAAGTTTAAGAGATGTTGTGGTGATGGGATGCAACGTAAAGTCAAGGAAATTAAATCTTGACGTTAGTGTTGATAGTCTATAAAAAAGCAAAATGTTATTACATGTTTTATCCCATTTGCTACAAATTAGGTCTTATTTTACTGCCAAGCAACAGTTTTAACAGCTTGTCTTTCAGGAAGCAATGCATTATATCATATTACAATTTAGTTTAATTGTATGACAATGTACTGTAGAAAGGATTCTGAGACTCAAATGATTGGTCAAATTAAACAGTAGTAAACTAATTTGTTGCAAATGGGTTTAAACATACATCGTGTCATTTAATCACATTTAGCCCTGTTTTGTAATAATACACAATCATTTGAATGTTGTGCTCATGACATCACGTCCATTGTCTCCCTGTTAGTAGTGAACACTGTATGTTTGCCCACTCTCATATTGTTATTTATGTAATTCACCATTGTTATGATATCCCTTCACATTAATGATTTTGATGCCTCCTTTATTGTGATGATAACGATGCCACTGTAATGAAGACTGTTGGATCACTGTTCATTAACAATGGATATTGCATCACTTCTTCCTTTCCTGATTAGACTAATAAAAATGAGCATGTATACTTCCCCACTTCCTCTTTGAGTTGTCTCACTTTGGTTTGAAGCCTACACCCTTCACTATTCACTCTCTCATTTCAGTTGACTCTTACCTTTTTCACTCCCAGTCACGATATCTATAGACTTGGACTCCTCGACGATATACCACCAGCATGGAGAAAAACCCATCCCTCTACTGAAATCAATGTGTGCTCCATTAATGATGCCCTGAAACAAAAATCAAAAACACTTTTAGGGAGCAGAAAAAAATCAAGCTGTTCTGAAAGTAATTGAGAGAAAACTAATGTTGTTTCAACGTGTTGTCTGGTCACCAGCATCAGTACCCTCATACCGAAGATTTTTTTATACTTGATACAGTATTCAGGTTTTTCACATGAGGACGTAACCCTGTAAAAGTGTTTGTATGGACTAGATAGATAGATAGATAAGATGGATACGTACTTTATTGATCCCAATTTGGGAACATTTTTGCATTGCAGCAGCATAAAAAACAAGGCAAGGTAAGAGAAATAAAGACACGAAATAAACAATCCAAAATATTTCTGAAGTAGAAATAAAATAGTTACAAAATATACATGTGGAAATACAAATTTCCAATAACAAAATATAATGCAGGATATTATATGTACATTCATTTAGCAAGAAATTGATTATTCAAACCACCTAACATGATATTCAGTGAGCTTTTGAGATGCTGGTGGGACAATCTTTTTTTTTTTTTACAAAACAAATCTAGTTCTCATTCATAGCATTCTTTTCGATGTCTTACTATGGTATACGCAGGGAGGCGCATCTTGTAGTGAGACATCTCACTCGTGCTACTCTGAGAACCGGGGTTACACAAGTAACCTAAAGTTATTCCCACTACTTAGTAGTCCTTATTCTAAGTTTAACTTCTCCTTTAATTTATTTGATATTGATATCGATCTTCTCATCAAGAAACTATATATCTCAAAATGTCAAACAGGACTATTGTATGCCAAGTACTAAATGCTGTCTCTTTGGCTTATTTAGACATAATTTTAAACATTGAAGAGGAAATAATACTGATGAAGGTTCTTATTAGAAAGTGGGCCAAAATGATCTGAAGAATCGGAATGCACTTGACATGAAGCAATATCATTCCATGTGTTTTTAGATATCATTTTTTCATCAGGTGAATATACATTTGGATAGATTATGAATGTTTGGAGTCAAGAGTATCCAGGTCACTTAGGCAGTCATTTATAGGTCTGACCTCACTGAACGTCCTGGGTGAGTATAGGACTTCATTCTTCGGCTGCTGTGATGGTTATTTCTGGTTAGAGCAGGTCTTTTAATACATGGCGACGTCTGACTCCAGTTCTCTCCTCTCAGGTGGAGACCACAGATGGAACACCTGACCTGGGGGTGACGTCATACTGGACTGATGCAGACGGAAATGTAGTGTTTGGCCCAAACACCCCAAAGGAGAAGATGAACACCACAGTCACTGGAACGAAAACCCCAAAGCGGAAGGGTGAGAGCTTAAAATAAATATGGCTGAAACATTACAGGATGGCATAATTGTGTCAATAATTAATGAATGAATGTTCTTTTGCAGAATCTGTAGCTAGGAAACTTCCAATGGAAAAGGTTGGAGACACAGACGAGGAGAAGGTTGCAGTTAAACCCAAAGCTACAGATTCCAAACAAACAATAGATGCAAAGGAAAAGGTTGCTGATCAGCCTTTGACTTCTGACCAATCAGAAGCCTCCGTGAAGCCTGCAGGCAAAGTGGAGGAGCCCGGACCAGTATCTGAAAAACAGCCAGAAAACACTGAGCAGTGAAGAAAGTATTTATTATACTCTCATATACATATATATTACAAGTTTGATGTGTGCTTTATTGATGTGTTTCCAGTTATCCTCACTTAGACGTTACATTTTCTCTTATAAAATATTAATAATAATTCCACAATTGTTTAAAAGATTAAGTATCTTTTAGAATATTACTTTTTTATGATGCACTAATAATAACACTCTAGAACAATGTTTTTATGGATTGTCTGCTTTAGATTTGGATATATGTCTTCTGTTTCTGTTTCTTAATTTTAGCTTGAATAAAGATTCCATTCACACATGTATTAGTTTAAATGATCATCCTTATTAGTATACCGTGCCGGAAGACTTGTAGATATACAGGCAGTGTGGAGGCTTATGCGAACGTGAGGCCCTCTAGTAGGGAGTAAGAACAAAGCCAACATGGGAAATTCTTGGGGTTAAACAGGGCAGAACTAATTCAAATCAACATGTGCTAAAGAGGTCTAGTGAAGACAATGGTGCAGTGAGGGGAACTTGCATCAGTTATTAAATACAACATTCTGATATTCATTCAAAAATAATTTTCTTACCAGAGTACTTTGTTATTGATTATTATTGAGATTAGAAAAAAGCAGATAATAGCAATACATATTGCTAACTGACACAATTGAGAGAAATTGCAAAGAAAAAGCATAGATAAAATTAAAAAAAAATCTTAACTTTATAGTTGCTTAAACTTTACAAGACCTGTGTTGTATGCAAAAGTATCCTAACTTTTATGTGGCAAGGTCCCCAATTTAGGAAATTCCTGTGTAAACATCAGTTATCTGAAACAGCAGACATGTATATGGGGAACTGAAACATTCTACTTCCCCTCCAGAACTATTAGATGGTACTTCATTGTTTCTCTGAATTTATATTAATAAGACAGCTGGTTTCACACTGCCCTTTCTTTAGGCTGAGGAGTCCCAATACTATGCATCACATCATTCACCTGCATCAATAAATTGTAGCATAGTGAATCTGCATCAACTCTTCAATCAGTTTAAACAGGTTAAATATGTTCTTGTAGATGTATCCTTTTATTAATTTAACAATTTGGTTGTGGTCTTTTTAGATTCTACCTCATCTGCACCAAATGAGGACTCATGTTTTTGTACTCAATCAAGTTTTATTATTACATGTACTGACATTTTGAATGCATTGCCTTACATGGAAATATAAAACACATGCTTCACGATATGCAATCTCATAATTGACCTCAGTATTTAAACTCATCAAACGTCCTCTTGCGTTGGTGTCACATGCAGCCTGGGAGTTGAAGGTAGGGGTGGGCGATACCACAAAATCTGGATTCGATCCGATGCTAAGTATTTCAGGGCCAGTATCGCCGATACCAATACTTTTTAAAAATGAAAAGCGTCTTATGTAGCTACTTTCATATAGGGGAGAGCTGCATGACATGATTTTTGAGCTGAAAGCATCATACAGTAGACTAAATCTGAATTCATTTCCATGATTAAAGACAGGACAGTTTTTATAGACAAATAAACGTTTTACTTTTGCAAATGTAAAGTGCAAACATGAAAAATAACAATACAAAGTGGCCTTCTTGCACACATCACAGTTCGCTAAGTTTTCATTGACAGTTGTGAAATAGCTCCACACAACGCTCCTCTTTCTCTCAGCCATCATGCGCGTGTGTGTGTCGCACTCGCGAGTCGCTGGCTGCTGCTGTCCTTCTGGCTGCTGTCAGTCAGCTTGATAATCGGAGTTCAGGCAGGGAGCGCGCTGCTCGTGCGCGAGCCTTGAGGAAAGGAGGACAGCAGTGGAGAGAGAAGAAAATAGCGCATATACTTGTGTTCGTCTGCACTCTGCACATAGTTTTTGATGAAATTGACGAGTAGAGGAGAGAAAAAAAAAAGTATAAAAGGATCGATCCTATTGGCTCTCGTCTCGATATTTTGAAACGTAACGTAATATCGGAAGCATCGATATTTTTGGATCGATCCGCCCACCCCTAGTTGAAGGGTCACGTGCTGTGGTCAGCCTCTTCACAGCAGCTGCAGCATCAGAAACTCACCGGCGGAGGAACTGTCTCCCTGAAGGTAGGATGATTTATATAGCTACTCTTTCTCGTTTAACCGAATTTAACAGCTTAAAAAAAAAAAAAACGAGACAGGACGTGAATACATGTTGGTTAATGTTGCAGCGCAGTCCTTGAAACCGACTTAAGAAGTCATTATAAGCAGCATTTATGTAACCCATGAGCCGGTGTAATACTGAGTATCCGGAATAAAATATTATGACAGCGATAACAACTGACAACCACACCCTTTGTGCCGAGTAAAACATAAAACGGGCATTTAGTACTGTGTAACATGTTGTCTAGATGTTTAGCCAATGTGTGTTTTGTTAAATGTACCATTCCTACAGTAGCTGTCCCTAAACGCATACTTTTTAAAATAGCCTACCTATCTGAACATCTGTCCAGGTGAACAAATGGGACTATATTCTTGGAAATATCATTCACATTATGAGGTTGCTAACTTTTTATCATAGGTTTTACATTCAATGGCTGATGGTATTAAGGAGTTATCATGTGATTGCTTTTAAGAGCATTCTCTAAAAAAGTGATAAAGAGATAAGGATCCTGATTTGTATAATAGGCCTTTATATCAGTGCATTGTAATAGCCTATAGACTATCTCAATCGAGAGATGAAAGTCATTGTAAACTGAGGTTAAGGCTATTTTAACCGGTGCCTATTCTTCCTTAAAGTGCACGACAAATCGAAGTAATTATAATATACTTCACAGCTTTAGTTTCATTATTAACAGTTACAGTGTATGAGTCAAAACAATGTGACACAATGCTGGTCCAAACAGCACTGGCTGACTCAGAGTTACATTGAGACACTTGGGACACAGTGAGCAGGACAAACATGCACTGACAGGGATATCTACATTGGTCCTAATCTTGTAAACAGGATTAACACGTCTTAAGGTCTTCCCAGAGTGCCCAGAGAGAGATCTGGTTGTGCTGGATTTGTCCTCATCGAGTACAGGGCATTTTTGTATTGAAGCACAAAACAAAGCTTTAGGGGTTTGGTCATTCTTATTGTACTGTATGCATGAAGATGACTTGATTATTGTCTTAGTTAGAAGCTTAGTAAATTAGATTCCTGTGAATGATGAAGAAACCAAGACACAAGATATATATTTTTACCAGTTTTCATCAGTGGTTTTGGAATTAAACAAGTTGATAAATAGAAAAGTCTGTTGCCATCACTTTTGCTTAAAATATTTCAATATTTGTACTAATGTTTTTTACTGGTTTATCGTAGTTTTTCCCCCCTCTATTTTTACTTTTTGTTGGACACAAGCAATTTCATCATATCAAGGTGGGTTATACAGAAGATCCAATTTCGAACTATTTTAGTCTTTTACATTTTAGAGACCAAGCAATTCATTGATCAATAATGTATAAAACTGAATCATGAAAAGTTTGGTAAGTACGTCTAATTTTAGCAAATTGAAACCAGACAGACAAATGGCAGACTCATCTACATCTTCAGGCTTGAAGTGCTTCAGTAGAGGGTTCTACTGTACATGAAGTGCTGTGGGAGTCGAACTAAATGTGTTGTTGTGTGTACATCATGCAGACAGTTTGTAGTCAGCTCACCAGAGAGATCAGTTGTGCAACGTTGCTATCACGGATCGATGACTCTCATCTAGACTCTTCTGCTTTGTCCAATAAATGAGCACTTTCACTGTACAATGTGCTGTGGTTCACCGAGGGGAAAGCCACTGCAGGAACACAGTGTACACTCTGACACTATTATCAACTCTGGGCATAACACTCCGGATGCTTGCTGTAACCTTGGTTAGTTATAAAGTCATTCAGTTACAGCTCTGAATCATATTTAATTGATGAAAATGTCAATATTGTATAGTTATTTGGTCAAGACTGGATGGATTGCCAGATATGCATGGTCCCCAGAGGATGAAGCCTACTGACTTTGATGATCCCATGAATGTCTCTAGTTGTGTTCAGTTGTATTTAGGAAAGATATCTCAGCATATAGATTGGAAATTATGCTCAGACATTCAGGACCTCCAGAAGATGTACCCTAACTCTGGAGATCCTATGACTTTTCTATTAGAGCCAATGATGGTTTTGAGTATTGGCAACTATTGGATGGATTTGCTTTGAAAATAGTCATGTTCCCCTGAGATAAACATTTAATAATGTTTTTTATTCGCTTAAAAACTCCAACCAACCTCACCTATTGTGCCAATTAACAAATGTTATCATGCTTACACAATTAATGACTATTTAGAACATGTTTTGAATGCTATCTGCATGTTAGCATAGCCATTGAGAGCTTTTTTGTGTTTATCAGAAGCACTGCTGTGCTAAAATAACAGCCTCACAGAGCCACTAGAGTTTTCTTTCGTGATCCTCAGAGGATAAATCCTAAGGTCTTTGGTGACTTTTCATATAGGTCCATCAACTTAAGTTTAGTTCATGACCTTTTAAAAAGCCTACTGAATTCCTGTCAACTGAGATTAACACTAACACAACAATTGAATATGCTTGAATGCATCAGTATGGCAATATGGTCTGGCATGTACTAACATGCTAAATGGAATTTTTTTTTTCCGGGTAAGTAATGTATCTAGTTGTCAAATAAATCAAATGTTTCCTTCATGCTGTTTTGAGAACTCTGTAGAGACTTTTCTATTCTGGATTGGCTTGGAAGGTGGCTGGTATTAAGAGAAGTTATGTAACAGTTTTAGGACTGCGTGTCATTTTCCCTCAGAGAGTTATTGCTCAGTCAGAGGGGGTAGGAGCTGTGGTGCATGGCAGAGAACAGGAGCAGGAGGACAGGGCAGGAGAGGGGGCCTCAGCTCCTGTTGGGGGGACATGGAGCTCTCAGAGAGGCTAACTTTAGAGCAGCAGGACCAGCACCTGAAGACCCCCTGGACTCTGGTGAGTTGGGGTGCTCTGTGACTTCTATTTTACTACACAGAGTGATGTTTATCTTAAGTTAATCTTTATCTCACATAAAGGTATTCAGATTCTGATTCTGATTATTATGCCTTTTTAGTTGTTGTAGCATTTACATTTGGAAAGTGTTGATCTTAACAAAGTAGGTGTCAAAATGTGCTTTGGATTACACCTCTCTGGTAAACCTAACCCTGAGACCATCCTTACATCTGCAACAGCCTTAATCTGGACCCAAATGTCAACCCTACCATTCCATTGGGGATGCCCATAATGGTTAAATAATATAGTGAATATTCACATGGCTAAATAACAAAATATATATATTTGTTGACCTTACCTCATGCTATAAATGACATTTTGAAAAAATGTCATTTATAGCATGGGAATTCTTGATGTAGGCTTATCCATTGAATTAAGTGCATTTCAAATTAAGATGAATTTATGACACTGATCTCAATATTATGGTATTTATCACCATATTGCCCAACCCAACAGATGTAGGGAAACACTAAACAGTAAAGTGACATGCTAAAATAGTAATACTAGTCACATGTAAGTTAAAACAGGAAGAAATTGGGATTTTAGTGTGACTGTGTTCCTTGGAGAGACAGAAACACACACTCTCCTGTATCGAGGGCATCTCCTTCAGCTCAGGACTCTTTTGAGGAAAATGGGACAGAGCCGCTGTGTTTAGAGACCAGCATTTCCTTTGCAGACTATTCTGATCAACAGGAGACTTACTACTGGGACACTGACCTAGTAAGACGCAACAAGAAAGTAGCGAGTGGTTTCTTTCTGATACTAATTTATGTGTGTTTACTTGATTTCATTATGAATGATAATGGGTGTTTTTGCTGACAGGTGGACACCATGAACTACGTGGGGCAGCTGGCGGGTCAGGTGCTGGTCACAGTGAAGGAGCTGTATAAGGGGATCAATCAGGCCACGCTGTCGGGCTGCATCGACGTGGTGGTGGTCCGACAGCCCGATGGGACCTTCCAGTGCTCCCCTTTCCACGTTCGCTTCGGAAAACTGGGGGTCTTGCGCTCCAGGGAGAAAGTAGTGAGTGCTCCAATTTTTATGTAGGTCATTTCTTAAAATGTGGCCAAACATCCACTCGGATTAAACAATAAGCTGTTACGATACCGTTTGTTAATGCAAAATCTCAGCAAGCATTAAGGCAATTTTTTTCAAGTTTACCACAAATATTTTCAGCCACATACACATAGAATACATACTCATCCTTTGACACATTCAGCAACATGTTGTATATGTTCATTGTATGTTTCTCTCCTTCCCTCTGAAGTTCATAACATCCATTCCACTCCACTTCTCACAACAAGAGATTTTCCTCACTCTCTATTCTCAGACTCTGTGTCAGCTAAGGGCTACGGTGGGATAGACAGACTCAAGCTCAATTTAGCCTCTTATTCCCAGCACCTAGAGAATCATCCCATTCAAGATAAGGGTCTTACAGAGGGGTCTTTTCTTGATGCAGGACACTGAGTGCAGGAAGTACACTTTTGTTGACGGAGAAAAAAGGTGGTTAGGGATTAGCTTCATGAAATGTCCGCATTTTTGCTTTTCTGTATGTTTTTCTGTTCAACTCAGCCAGGCCAAGTCTGAGTTACACTCTGTCTGTCCAATACATGGATTACAACTTGTGGCATTTGCTGTAAACAGCCTTCTTACAAGCTGTTGTTTTTTTCTTCTCTGGCTTAGCTCTAATTCGTCCTTGTGGCACAGTGTGTTTGTATATACATAAGCTGTGTTTTCCATGCATTTGGAGCTGTAAACAAACCTTCTCTGCTGAGGCCAGATGAGGACAACGTGGTGAACTACACAATAACTTACAGAAATGTGTCTGATTCTGCAGATTGATATAGAAATCAATGGGGAACCTGTAGAGCTGCACATGAAGCTGGGAGACAACGGAGAGGCCTTTTTTGTCCGAGAAACAGAGCAGCATAACGTGAGTTCCAAACAGATTAAATCATTCCTTCATGTTAGCATTAGCTCAAAGCATTGTTGCGGCTAAGAACACACTCATTGTCTTGATCATTTTCTTAATTTTATTAGGAGATAGTTCCAGCTCACCTGGTGACCTCACCCATCCCCTCAGAAGAGGATCTGTTGAGGAGCAGAGAGCCCAGATGTGGGGTCACAGCGCTGGAGAACATTCAGCCTCTGAGTCCAGAAGACTCCACCTCTGGAAACCTCCAACCCTGCACCAACACCACCGGGAAGAAGAAGAGGAAACGCAGGAGGAAGCACAAAGCGGAGCCACGTAAGGAGGAGCAAAGCCCACCTGCAGGAGGGGAGCCGGAGCTGTGTGAGCTCAGTTCAGATGAGGAGCACACGCACAACGGATGGTAAGCAGAGAGTTTAATATCACTTGTATGTGATGTAAACCTTTGTTAACGTCATCGTTTCCTGTCTTCAGGCCATCTTCCCTCTCCGTGATGAAGGAGAACATGGACCACAGGCAACCTTCCCCCCTCACCGCCCTCGAATGGGACAGCTACCCCTTCTCTGACGCCGACTGGTCCCCTCGCACTACGTACGCGCCCCCCACTCTGCCCATATTTACATTGTTCATACAAGCATAAAGACACAATCCACTTTATCATAACATGCAGGGCTGAGTGAAAACACATCTCTCATTACAGCTGACTCATTGGAAATGTTGTTTGCTTACAGCACGGAGATGTCGGAGCCCGTATCGCACAAGAGTGACTCGGAGCTGATGCTGAAGCCGGAAGAGAGCATTCTCAGGGCCGAGTCCCACATGCAGTGGACATGGGGAGAGTTCCCAGAATCCACCAGGGTAAGGCAAGACCAGGGTCGCGGTCGAATAGTCAAAAAAATCAGCTCCTAACGTCTATCCCTATCGCCTATCCCTTGACCTCTGAGTGAAACGTCACGGGGTTAAGGGATAGTGGATAGGAGAATTCAAAAGGACTTAGGAAAAGAGACTGCGGTACTTTAGAGAATCCGACTGCACTTTCACTATCCGACGTGTTTATGATGCACCAGCAGACGTCATAAATGTGCGTCTGCTGCTGTGGGGAAACTATGGAAACTACAGTTTTCTATACAGCGGACTACAACATGGATGTTTAATAAGAACGAGGGACTACTGTAAACTCATCTAGAGACTCTGCACCGCGCTCTGATGCTGTTGTTTTATGCTTTATGAACGTGGACAACAGAGAAACATTTTCTTCATGACCAAAGTTGGAATTGAAATAAAAAAGGAAAGTGAAACTTATGCTCGTCACCCTCTCCCTCCGGTCCACATTAATACAAATGATCCCAATACGTATGATTGTATGAACTATGAAAAGATTTTAAAATCAATACAATTGTATTTATTATAAACGTTAGTCCTTAACATCTATCACTGTGTATATCACCATTCAAACATCTTTTAAAAGTTGAACAAACCCCACACAGCTCAGTAAAGACTGTGAAATGTTGACTTTATTTGATCATTTCAGTCAAAACTAACGTTCATATTTCTCTTTTTGATTATAATACTGATGAACGTTCAAAACAAAGCACTTTGGCAACTTACCACATACGTTTTAAAATGCTTAATAAGCACTGTAATTTTCATGAGATCATTTCTCGGTCATAATCGGTTGTTTCCGTGAACGGCCGACTGCTGTGTGACGGCAAATGCTGCATCTGCAAGGCATTGTGGGGCAGCATTTTCTCCTCTCCTTTCGTAAAGGGAGGTCCAGTGGTTCCTAAGCTGAAGGAGGTTATAAAGGAAGTTTGAAACCTCCTTTCCTATCATCTAGAGAATTCGAACGGCACTTATCATGGCTGCCACTGAGGGACTTCCGGGTCATTTCACTCCGTTAGGAAGGTTCCTAAGCTAAATGGACTATTCGACTGCAAGCCTAGCCTAGTAGGACTAAACTTTGGGAGACAATAATAATACATCATGTCTTCATTTACACATATTTGGCTAATCAGGAAAGATCTTTGGAAATGCATTTGTGTATATTTAAGCTTTATCTTGTGCTTTTTTTTCTAGGTCAACAAAAAGGACAAATCAGAGCCAAGGACACTGATCATCACTCCCTCTGAGAACACACACTTCAGGGTTATCTTGAGCACTGAAGCCATGGAGGAAAGGGAAGAAGAAAGAACAACAGATCCCATTTGCAGTATAGTGAAGCCAGAGCCCCGCACCATCAAACCTGATCAGTGCAGCTGCTCCTCTCAGCGCCACAAAGCTTTGTCGGGAAACACAAACATGACCAGCCACAAAACAGACCTTTCAGATTTAATGTCCAGCAGTTTTACCTCGGGGCCGTGTCCCCCCAAATCTGACCTCAGCCCAAAGGCAGCCCACGCAATAAGGTGGAAGTCTTCGCCGCCGAGCCGCCGGGGCAGCGGGGGGGGCAACATGGCTGCAGACGCAGCAGCTGTTTGTCCCGATTCAAGATCTAAACCCAGCGACTCCCCGGCCAAGAGGAGAGGTAACACACACTTTTATAACTCTATTTATGTACACTATGCTCCTAATCTAAGGCAATTACAGAATATCTTCATTCTGCAGCAAGGACGTTTTAAGGGTATTTCAAATAGGTCTTTATTATTCTTATTAGACATTTAAACATATATATATATTTGTATTATGTGTCTTAAATGCTGTGGGAAAATCTTGAGATCTCCAGACAACATGAAGGTTCTCTACATGCACTTGAGTGGATGTTGACAGGAAGGAAGTGGTTTGTAGTTGCGTAGAGTTTACATTCACACGCACAAGATAAAGAAAAGGAAGTGAAAGGGAAAACAAATCTGAAATGTCTCGTCTTTGCTTTCTAAAAAAAGGTGTGAGCAAGAGGAGCCAACACCAGGGCCCTGAAGATATTTACCTGGACGACCTGATTGCACTTGAACCTGATGTTGTTGCCCGCTACTTCCCAAAAAGGTACACAGAAGCATCAAATGGAAGCAGCTATTCATCCCACTCAGAGTTTCTTACTGTGTGAAATCAATTGGACCATGTGTGTCTTTGCAGTGACTCTGAGCCGGTTCCTAAGCTCTGGGTAGGGAGGGGCCGGCGCTCTGGGTCCCAGTCCCCCCAGTCTGTGGGCAGCGGCGCGGCAGACAGCGGCACCGAGTGTCTGTCCGACTCCGCTGCCGACCTGCCCGACGTCACGCTGTCGCTGTGTGGAGGCGTCGCAGAGGACTCTGAGATCCCTACAGGTACCTTGTAACCAATAATAACAGTAATTATCAAATCCAAACTGATATGTTAACTACTACATCTTGGTTAGAATTCCAGTGGGAACAGTAGGTTTAAGTCCTATTTACAGAATGGAAAGTAGATTTTGGAAGCAGCAGCTGATTGAACTATATACCAGAAAGTTAAAGGCTATTTTTGTAATTTGCAAATGGAAAAAATAAACATTTATTGACTGCTTGCCTTGAAATACTTTCCTGGAATTGCATAGGTGTACATGTGACGTGTATACACTTCATTATTTTACCTGTATTTAGACATTTCTTTTCTCAAATCTTTATTTACCACATTAGTTTGTTTTGCGCGTTAGGAGAACACCACTAATCCTATTGCTTGATTTTGTGACAAATGAACCTTTAAAACATTTAAAAGTGGTAGATGAGTATGGTGCACTACATATTTCGGTGCATGCATATCGAAATATGAACTATCATTTATAACGAGGCTTATATGTGCCATTTATTGCAGAAAAATTCATGGAGCACATCATCACCTATAATGAGTTTGCAGAGGATCCAGCGATAATTGACAATCCCAATTTGGTGGTTAAAATTGGAAACAGGTGAGTTGTTAAGGTTCATTTAATAACTCATTAATACCTAATAACATGTGCACATCACAGTTAATTAAACCCTTTTTCCCTCAGGTACTACAACTGGACCCTGGCAGCACCGTTGATACTCAGTATGCAGGCTTTTCAGAAGAGCTTGCCAAAGGTATCCTGTTTTCTACACTGTGTTTTAGTGTCCTCTTACTGTAAATAGTATCTGCACATAAGACATTTATTTACACATGAACTGTTTCTCTGAATGGCAGGCTACAGAGGAGGCCTGGGTGAAGGAGAAAATGCCCAAAAAGTCTGGACGGTGGTGGTTCTGGAGAAAGAGCAGCGTGAAGGTCAGGGGGAATCCCTCACTGTTATGTAACTTAGGAATGACTCCTGTCAAATGAGGAACAAATGTAAAAAAATGGCTAATAATAATGTGTCGTCTTTCTTCAGTCATCATCAGAGACCAAGTTAGAGACACAAGAGTCTCTACCGGGAGAGACTGCCCCTCACCAGGCCCCAGAAACACAGTGAGTCAGCATCAAGCAGTACAGTCACACACCAACACAGCACTGTTGGGTAAACATGTCCCACAAAGGCTGGATTAGCCTGTTAGTCATTTTCTGACTCATAAACAAGCATTCAGGAGGAAGAACTGAAATGCTGTTGTGAATTAGGCAGCTATAATTCACATTTTGATGTTGTTTTGTGCATGATGTGTACACAAACATTCTGCATATTTAGCGGACAACAAAGCAGAGATACAGGCAGAAGAGGTCTACTGCCCTCTGGTGACTGGAAATGATACTGCAGGGATTTCTTGTTAACCACACAGAATCATAAATGTGTCTTTTTGTCCATGAAATTGTGTTTGCGTCTGCAGGCAGAAAGCAGCAGAGAGGTCCAGCGACGATGAGACTAAAGAGCTGAGCGCTATGACAACCGCTCCGACACCTACTGAGCATGTGCAGACAGAAGGCCCGACCCCGGCGCCTTGTCACTCCTACAAGAAGTCCCTCCGCCTGTCCTCTGACCAGATAGTAAGATCACCGATACTGGTAGTGAGGCTGAATTTAGACAAAGACAGCAACTGTGTCATCAGTCTGCTGTTTATCCGAGTGTGTATATTAAAGCTCAGTGAACGAAAGAGAGAAGAGGACATCTTTTATATCTTTGGTGTACAAAACAGTAGTAAAACCCAATTCTTCCAGCTGTATAACCTTCCTTTATGTGGTTTTCTATTTCCCGCAGGCCAGCCTGAAGCTAAGGGAGGGCCCTAATGATGTCACCTTCAGCATAACCACTCAGTACCAGGGGACATGTCGCTGCGAGGGCACCATCTACCTGTGGAACTGGGACGACAAGGTCATCATCTCTGACATCGACGGCACCATCACCAAGTACGAGAACGTCCAAATATCCATCTCTTTGTAATTTGATAGTGTTTATTCTCAGGCTTATTCCTCCTCATTCGCAATATTCAAAAGAGAGTTCTTACTGGTGTATTTACTCCACTGGTCCTCTCCTCCCCACAGATCAGACGTGTTTGGTCACATTCTGCCTCAGCTCGGGAAAGACTGGACTCATCAAGGCATCGCTAAGCTCTACAACTCCGTGCACGAGTAAGATATGGATTAATACTTACTGTTCAAATATGTCAATAAGTAGATGGGCTAATAAATATCCTCCTGCTACAGGAACGGCTACAAGTTCCTGTACTGTTCGGCCCGAGCGATCGGCATGGCTGACATGACCAGAGGGTATCTGCACTGGGTGAACGACAGAGGGACCCTCCTGCCTCAGGGGCCCCTCATGCTCTCCCCCAGCAGCCTCTTCTCTGCCTTCCACAGGTGAGAGACCCTTCACCTCAGCGTTTATTCACCCCTTTTTTTAATTAATTTGAGCCGCTAAAGAGTGAATTTAGATACTGAAAAAACAATTACATGTCAGAATTTAATGCAGAATTGTATGTATTTACACAGTTTTTATGTTCATTTTGAAAACGTGTAGACTATGAATTGTGATAAATGAGTTGTCTGTGTTTCTGTAACATCAGCAGTGACATTTCAGAGGTTAAAGTGTATCATCTTTATTTATTTTGTATTCTTTTGATAGAGAGGTTATAGAAAAAAAGCCGGAAAAGTTCAAGATCCAATGCCTCACAGACATCAAGAACCTGTTCCTCCCAAACACACATCCCTTCTACGCAGCCTTTGGAAACAGAGAAAGTGTAAGTGTAACATGTTTGTTGTATCATTTCAAGTTAGCGGTTTTTATCTTCACTTCTTCAGGTATTTTATGTTCAGTTAGATGACTTATCGTCTCTTTCTCCTGCATTTAAGGACGTGTTTGCCTACAAGCAAGTGGGCGTGCCCGTGTGTCGGATATTCACAGTGAATCCCAAAGGAGAGCTAATCCTGGAGCAAGCAAAAGGCAATAAAACATCGTGAGTACGGAGGCATCAATGGAGTCATTGTTTGTTTGTTTCTCACAACAGATTCCCTCAGACAAAAGCTTACTGTTCCCATCGTTGTTTTTAATTTCCCAGATACAGCCGTCTGAGCGAGCTGGTGGAGCACATGTTCCCTCTACGCAGCTCCCAGCACAGCGCCACCTTCAGCTGCCCCGAGTTCAGCTCCTTCTGCTTCTGGAGGCAGCCCGTCACCGAGGTGTGTTTAGAGGAGCTGCTTTGACTCAATCTGGGGTTCATATTTGTAATGAAGGAGGAATGGCTTCTAATATAAGACATTCTGGAATAGCTTGATATTGTCTTAGACACATTCCACTTTAGTGAAAGAGTTTGATTTTGGCAGTGGAGGTGTTTAAACTGGCCACTGTTCAGTATGAAACAAATACTGATTGTATTTCTCTCTTTCCATGACTTGAGGGCGATCATAAAACATCCAAGGTTATATTTATAGCAGCTATATTTGCATCCCTTTTAAGGCCTTACTCACTCTTTAGTGGCCTTATATCTCTGCTTACTAACTTTGCACACCGCTTTAAAGAAAACTGTGAAATGATTTAGTTAATAATTGCATTGCTGTCATTTAAAAAAGGAAGTCTTTATGAACTGTAGACACTGATATATTGGTATGAAGTATATTTGCAAAGCCCAGATTTAATTAGATAATTATTAACTAATCTGCTGCTGTGTGATGTTGCCATGGTAAAACTGCAGTATATTAATGTTATGCCTCTTTTTGTTTTTATCCTTTTCACGCTCAGTAACAGCTGAAATGTGACGTTTTCTTTCTATGAAAGTGAAGAACTCTGTGTGAAGAGAACACACACTATACATCTGATTTTGTGGAGACGTAGCTCACGTTTCAGGGTAGAAACCTCTGCTGATGTGTTTTCTGTATTAACAATGTAAACACAAAGAATGTTTTAAATGACTGTTTTGAAGAAAAACAAGTGGACAAATACATTCAACAGTTTGCTTTGACAGTTATTTAAAGTAGTGTATATTGTGAACGCTGTATTAAATGTTAAATCAAATGGTTGACAGTGCTCTAATAAAAGCACAAGCTATATTTGAAGACAAAAGCCTTTTTGCACATTTTTGACAATCTTAGCCGGTTTAGGATGTTATAGGTTGTATCTGAGAACAAACACTTTAATAGATTTCCTAAGTAAGTATGAACAAATCTGATCAACGGGAATTTCATTTTTACATGTTTTTAAATATTAAGAAACAAACTGCGGTGGACGGCAATAAAATGCAGTGTAAATGCTCTATATATTAGTACTTAGGATAGAAATAATCTCATTTATTGAGACTATTTTTAACCTCTTTTAGAGTGTCTTTCCCTCCCTGATAATAGAAAATACCCATTAGCCTTAATATGTCCATGATATGATGAGGTGTCTTTAAAGAAGGCATGGCTACCGTTTGGAGGGGCTGCTGGGGTAAAGGAGCGTGGCGCTGAAAGATGACAGGATCTCAGAGGAGGCGGAGATGGCGAGTTTCCCCGCCGTCATGACGACTCCCGCTCGGTCTCCTCTCCTCAGCGGCAGCACCAGGCTCAGGGAGGTGGAGCTGCTGCAGGGACACTGGTCATGTGACAGAGGTGAAGCCGCTCCGGACAGGAAGCCGGTGGAGTCTAACTTCTGGACGCTGCGGTTGGACACGGAGAGGACCGCCTCCACCCTCTCCCCTCGCTGCGCCGCCAGCACGGCCGTCACCAGGTAGCGGCCGTCAGTGGGCGCTGTGAAGATTCCTGAGAACAACACACGGTGATTTTTATGTCCACCACTTCAGATACAAATATTTGACCAACTGTTTGATGGATTCCCATGAAAAATGTGTTCTTACCTTTCCTCAAGCACCACAATGAAGCGGGCATCTTTGAATTTTAGTCAAATGTTGCAAACTACTCACTAAATTCATGAGGGAGTATGGTGCACCAAAAGAACTGAACTTACTTTTTACAAAACCATTTACTCGTATAATTGTAAAATACTTTGTCCTTTACTTATTTTTTTACATTTATATTGTAAGCATGCATCATTTAGTATCTCATAAGCATGTAGAGTATGAGAAATAAGTCTGCAAGAACGGGTGTAGAAACATATTAAGTTGGTTGAGTGCTGCAACAGTAATCTATTAATCAATGGACAGAATGTTAATTTAAATAATTTTTTAATGATCTATTACTTTCCTTGTCAATTTTGAAATAATCTAAATATTTGCTGTTTTAGTATATTTGCTGCGTTCTCTTATTAGTATTTTTTTATTAGGTTTCTAACCAATTTTGATTCAAATCACATTCTGTCATACATTCTGTAGTCCAAACATTATTCTATTAATTGCCAAACTAATGAACCAATAATCAGACATTTTAAATGATAAACTTGTGTCAAATGTAGCTTTATGTGTCTTTGTTTGGGTTGTGAGAGTGTAGTCACTGTTACCTGTGTGAGCGTCATAGTGTCCACCATCATTGAGCAGCACCTTGTCGAATCTAATGATCCCCTTCTCTCCCTGGAACGGCTGCAGCGTCAGCCCGGCGGAGAACGACACCCTCTCATCTGAACACAAGAAGAAACATGAACTAACAGCCGTTACCCTCACAGCGGGTGTAACCTGAGTATTTAATCAATTCTGACCTGAAGCAGAGGCAGATTTCTGGCGTGGCATGTTAACATCTGTGGAGAAAGAGAAAAAATGTCATCCACTCGAAACTGTTGAGTAATTATGCAGCACAGAAACAACTCTAACAGGTATTTACCTAAGATGAGTGGCATGCTTGTCTTAATGGGGTCAGGGGGGGCTGTGAAATCAAACACAAAGATGAGACACGTGGGATAATCCTTGGAGACATGCAGAGAATGAGTGTGAGTGTCTGACCTGGAGCGCCAGCGAAGCCCAGGACAGGCATCATGCTGCCGCCCGTCCCCTTGGGCAGCTTGGACGAGGTCATCTTCCCGGGAGGTCCCGCCTCCCCGGTCTCCATCACAGGGGGCTGTGGGGGGGAGGCCTCAGGGGGCTCCAGCGGCCCTGTGAGGCTCTTACCTGCACCCTGGGGAAGTCCTGGGTCCTCCACTGAAACATGAATACCTGAAAGAGACAGATGCAGAGATTGATGAGGCTGCAGGTCAGAGAGGCGCAGGCCAGAGGTGGAGGCCATTCACATTGAAATGATGAGCCAGAGAGGCAAATGGCAAAGAAAACAACAGTTTGCTGTTTTAAGCCTGCTGACCTGAGACATAAAAGTGTCAGTCTTATTTCGGCCTGACTACTGGTAGGTGCAGGTTTTTGATTTAATTAGGTTTTTTTTAAGGTTATATTACACATTCATTTGTGCCAAGGAGGTCAAAAAGGTTTGAGAATAAATGTCCACCTTTAACACAACCCTACTTTTTTTAAATAACGGCATTTACTTGAGGACTTCTCTTATTTATTTTTGTCTGTCAATATTCTCATAGCAGTGCAATTTCCAGAATTGTAGTCATTAACACATATTGTCAGAATAATTGTTGGAGGAAGTATTCAGAACTTTTACCGAAATAAAAGTACAGTAGAAGTGAAGTAGTAGAAGTGTACTTAAGTAAAAAGGAGTTATTATCAGTAAAATATACTTAAAGTATTACATTTGAACTCAATGTAGAAAACAAAAGAAAAAACTCAGTTATTCTAAATACCTTTTAGAAATTAACCAAATGTATATATATACTATTTTTTAGATGAGTGTCTAATCATTTAGCTGTTACTGTAAAAACTGGTGGGCAATTACATTCATAATAAAACATATTTTTTAAATGCTTGTGTATTTTATGCATACATCTTAAATATTACAGGAACAAGTAACTAGAGCTGTAAGAGTAATGTAGTAGAGTAGAAATACAATATTTCCCTTTGAATTATAGTTAAGTACAAAGTATATACAGTAAAGTGTCCGACAAGTACCTTAAATGTGCACTTTAAAACAATGCTTGAGTAAATGTTCTCAGTTACAGGCCACCACTGGTCAGAGCCTCGTACAAAAACGTGATTACATTCTCTTTTGTATTTTCATGTTTCTTTATTTTTATGGTCTGGCTGCCAGTGATACTCATTAACAGCCACTCAGAGGGGGATTATCTAAACCTGTAATTATGGACTCAAACAGAGATAATGAAAGACCCCTGCCCATCTCCCATCATATGGTGACCACCTCCTCACCTCATGCAGCGCTGCATTCCTAAGAGCAGCAGCTGAGACCCTGCAGTTTATCAACACATCACAACACTGGCTGGGGGGCACACACTCTGGGCCACCACCACCAGACAACAGACCCCTCCCCTCTACCCTCTAATAAAAGGCATACCAAGACACGGCCACATGTTCAATCACCAGACAGCCTGTCCCCTCGGCCCGGGGAGAAGAAGGGTCATTTAGATTGGAAGCCTGTATAACACAGCATGTGGAGAGGGACCGGTGTGAGGGGGGGGGGTAAGTCTGCGTGTCCGCACATGTGCATGGTTTGATAGCCGTGGAGTCTTTTATTGTCAGGATTCAAAACCGATTTCAGAGCAGGAGGCACACAGGATGTATGTCCGTACGCCAGAGTGTTTGTCATGATGAAAGAGGTGGGCTATAAACACAAGCAGCTGGCTCTTCTGAAAAAACGCACGCTCCCAGCAAAGCGGCATGGGAAAACCTCGCTCTGTTAGTCACTTGACCCTCCCCCCCCCACCCCCCCCCCCCCCATCAACAGTTCCAACCCCCTTGTGTCCCACGAATGGCCACTTTCCACATTACATACCACCTAATTATGACTGCAAGGCAATCTGTGGGTGTTGACTTTATGAGTCACCAAAATACCCTCAAGACTCAGATTTAAGAATCAATAAATCTAGATCGGCATCCAGAAGTCACAGAGGAGATTGCGACAACAAAGGCTTTATTAAACTTCTGGAGGGCTTAGTCGAGCCCCGTCTTGTTTTGGGTTCATGGGGTTATCATGTCACAACCCCGACCAGCCCCCCCCCTAGTCTCTCACAGGTCATTGACCTTCCTTCTTAGCATCTGAGCATTGTCAAAAGCAGGAAAGCATCTTATCTGAGAAGGTGCCGGTAAAAGAGCGCTACGATGCTTTGGGTGACTACAGGACGCCTTGATAAACAGAGAGGGATGTGCTCTACGGAAGGAAAGACAAGATAGACATTTCACATATAATGAACTGGTGAAGTGACACATCATTTATTTATAAAGTATACAATACAACTAAAGACATAAGGGGAGTTATCATGGATTAAAACTGAAATGTGGCTAAAGCCAAAAAAGCTTTTAAGTGGACCTTGTTTTAAAAAAAATCTGGTACAACTTTCTAATAAGTCACCCTTTAGACATGGTTCCCAATGGTTTAAGTTAAAAAAATATAAAGATTGAAAAAACTATTTTGGGTTGCCAGGTTGTGAAAAATCCTTTTGTTTATTCTCCTTCACTAAGACACCTAAATGATCCGTTTAGATAGCTTATAAGTTTTGGTGGACACTCTAAAGGACCATTTACCTTTAAGGGGGGAAAAATTGCAAAATATTCAGGTGAAATTAATTAATGGATTATAACCAATGTATTTATTATTAAAAAAAAATATTAGCTACAACTTTAAACAGTATAAAGGGTGCCTTGTTGAAGGTGGTATCAGTTTCTATTACAGCATTTTTACCATGTCATGGATTGATCTTATTTCAGCACAATTATTGATAGTTTAGATTTCCACAAAATTGAGCAGCTGTTATGCACATACACTGGACGCCCAACTGTTGAATAAAGAAATGGGATTTTTGGACAAACCTTATGTATTTCTGTCATTTTGTGTCAACGAGCTATTATACATTTAAGCTAAAACTTCATAATTGGCGCTGAAAGCTACAAAAATCATTTTAGGAATGACAAAATCCCTGGCATCTGTCTTCTTCCCCTTCCTGACCCTCTCATTTAGAGTTAACAACTGCTATGACATCATGGCCCTCACATTGACAAATGGCCCCTGGGACCCCCGGTGCAGCTTTTAGGGTTTCCACTGTTTATTTCAACAGAAAAGGAACTCAGCCATGCAAGCTAAACAAGTTTTAAAAAACTGCACGCTGAAGACACGGAGTAAAATAAAACCCAGAAGAGGATATGGGTGATATAATGTCGAACCAGTAGCACTCTGAAGCTCTTGGCTCTGATATAAAGGCTCCCTGTGATAAGCTGAGCAGAGGGCTCTCTATTATGGTCTCCTCCAAGCAGCTTTTTCCACTCTCTGCAGATAAGCTGGGGTGGGGGGCACTAGGATGAGGCAGCTAGCAGGGCAAAGACAAACAAGGAGCCAACATTTGTTCACAGAGCCAGTGGTCAGAATGGCCCCGGTGACATCGCTGAGCATGAGTGGAAACCGCGAATAACTGTGCTCCCACTTGCAAAACTTCCCAATGACAGCATGATGAATTAAACGCCATATTATGACAACAAGCACGGGGTGGAGTGGCAATAATCACATTGGCACAAATGAGAAAACTGGCAGCCATAGAGATGATTCAAGACATAACAAAAATATCATGATGCAAATCCTCTGGTCTGACTTGGGCTGGAACCAGAACAAGAACCAGGACTATTTTTATTCCAGCCCACATCCCGGGAGAATCTGGAGTGGATCATGTGCTGCATCACCTGCGCCATAAACCAGGGATTGAAAAACTAGCCGGTCCCAGAGGAAGAGAGTTGGCTTGTAAATATTAAGGCCGTGCTTCTAGTTCACTTTACAACTGTGGGAGTCCGAGGAGTCCAGCTGGGTCTCATAGGCACCATTAATGAGCAGACTCATACCACAAATATGCAACATATGCAGCAATATGAACATGTACTCTCAAAATATGCTTACACCAACCAACGTCTTACAATAGTATCCAGTAAACTGATAAACTACATAGCTTAAGAGGTGAACACCCTAACGTTTTCACATTTTACACCCCGGAATTAACTGTAGGCTACATACAGCGTTTATGGACACATAAAGGAACACTTTGATGCACAAAAACAAAAAAGCCAAGCAAGCAGTATTTCTTTATGCCAAGGCATTGCTCAACACAAGTGGGGTCTATTAAATCAACCATGTGTCTCCAATCAACCCTGGCAGTTTCAATTGAGAACATGGTTTAATGAAAATCCAACTTCCTCCCACTCACACACCAATGCCGGAGCCTCTCCAATAAAAGGACAAAAACAAATGGACTACAGTCCAAGCAATGATCTAATAGGTCGGGGAAATATGACAGCTATCTGATTGATCTCAAGCTTCTGCTGTTTAAACTCCTGTGGGTAACACATTCGATTTAGCTTAAATGAAACAAGAAAAATTATTTGTGAAAGCGGGATTATGAAACTTTTGCCGATCGAAAACATTTACAGTATAATGGAAAATACAGTAGCACAACCAGGGAAAAGTTAGTTAACTGTATCAGTTCTGTATTGTAACAATATGAAAAAAGCAACAAGAAATGGAAAGCTGGCTAGCTAGCATTAGCCAACATAAGCTAGTAGTTAATACAGACGATTAGGACTGTTGAAGAAAATCCCTTGAATATATTAACCTGAGGAATAGTGTGTTTAATTGCTGAGGGATTCAGATAATCATCCAAACCTGAAGGCAATTATGTTTGTGTTAGCATAGCCGCTTACCTGTCTTCCCAGTATTGCTGTTGGTTAGCACCCGGAGGTCCGTGGCTGCATTAGAGATTTGGTTCTGGATGTTCTCACAGGTTCCCCTCAGTCCTCCAATATCTCGGGCATGAGCGCTGACCGTACCATTCAGATGTTTGACACAAGTCCACAACCCAGTGACGTGTTCATTCAGAGCCTCTTTGATCCTCTGGAGGCTAGAGGAGATGGGATCCAGTTTGCCACATAAACTCTCCACACTAACAATGCGGCTGTCAATGCGTGCAATCTCCTGCCCGACATCTTCAGTTTGTCCCTTGCAGTGGTCGGCCCCAGCGTTCACCTCCCTGCGAAGCTCGTCCAGATGGGTTCTCAGCTCTTGATGCTGCTCCAGGAGGTCCTTGGCCTCCTGCTCAGCCCCTGTTTTGACTTGACCCCAGGTGGAGTTGAGGATCAGAGACGCTTGAGACTGCTGGTTGACTACATCTGATAGAGAGTCCTCCAAAATCCCTACACGTCCTTTAAGATAGCTTAACTCGCTGTGGACGTGCTCAATGCTGGTGCTGGAGTTGGGGAGTTGGCCCTCCGTGGCTCCATCAATGTGAGCCTTTAGACTTGATTCCACAGCATCTACAGCAGTTCTGCAGCTCTGGAAGTCTTGTTGAATGTTTTCTACAACATTTAAAAGACCCCCAGATGGAGAGTTGGTGCTGGTATTTGCCAACATGGTGGTGAGTCTTTCTTCCATGGAGAAAAGCTTATCCTCCAGAGTGTCCCTCAGGTCTTTGATGGCCTCTGCCTGTTCTTGCTTCAGCTTCACCTCAACGGAAAGACATTGGGACGCTGACGTTTTCTCAGATGAGTTCAGATGGATGTCCACAAGACCGGTGTCTGCATTTCCTGGACCAATAAGCTGGGTCTTAAGGTCCTGGATCTCCTTCCGAAGGTCAGCTTCCTTTGATTCCATGAGCTCGGCCAGGCTGAGATAGTTTGTTTCCGTTCCCTCACACTGCTCCTGAACCGATGTGATTTTATAGTCGCAGGCGTTCTTCATGTCTGCTATTTTGATGTCCATGCCTTCCATTAACTCCTCTCTCAGAGCGCTGATCTTCTCGTCCAGGTAGGCCCGCAGGTCTGCACCACTGGTTGGAGGAGCAGGAGCGGGTGTGGGCAGCTGGTTCTGGGCAGCCTCCATTAACAGATGAATCTGTCCGTCATGGCTGTTGACACGACCCAGCAGGTTGTCCAGGGCATTGCTCTTGGACTCCAGATCGTCTGTGACCTGGCTGATCTTGTTCATGACCTCGTCCATCTGCGTTGTCTCACTCCCAAAAGAGAAGTCCTGCACCTGAGCGATGTGGCTCTCTGCCCCTCTCGCGCTGGAGGGCTGTCTGAAGTTATTCAGCAGCGTAGCCAGCATTTTACTGGCGTCCTCTTGAAAATCCAGTCTCAGATTGGAAGACATGTCAGTCATTCTTGCCTGCATGTCAAGGATCATCTGGGACAGCCGCTGCACCTCCTCCTCCAGGTGTTGCTCGCTTTGAGATCCTCCATGAACCGACTGTTGCCTTTGACCTGTCTGACCTCCAAACTGCCCCTCCCCTCCCCATGGATGGTTCCTCTGATTCTCTGTCCGCTGATCTGGAGCTTCAACAGACGGAGGGATGGAAAAAAGGTATATTAATGCTTTTTTCTGACATTTTTCAAGCTGTATACATTTATATTCATGGTAGATTTCTCACCTTCTGGGACTGGAATATGTCCAGAGGCAAAGGGGGCAGGAGGCATACGCTCTACTTGGAGCCGCTTCAGATCCTTCACCTCCATGCAGTCATGGCCCTGGTAACCCGGGCAGCACCTCCACTCCAGCTCTGTTAAAGTCTTGTATGCAATCTTATACATGGGCCTGAACTGTGTCCGATATCTGAAAGCATTAAAAACATCCACAAATTCACAATTCCTGCTGAACATTGGTCTGTTCTAATAATGAATAGACACAATTCAGTCCATTAGATGGTCCGACTTTGCGCAACTCTTTTCAGGAACACAATGGAAACTTGGAATCACAGCACTGTTTGTTGACAAATTAACAGTAGATAAACACCAGTCACATAAAAACAATAATTAAACAAGCATATGGCAGGAAGCAGCTTAGACTTTTCACCATTTCCACTGTTAACCACAACAGGGTGATTAAATATTTCACAAGTGTGTTTGTTGCTTAGTAAACACTGAAAGAAAAAAAAGTGAGAGGAATGTCTGCCCATCTTTGCCATTCATGAAGATTCAACACATTCTACTCCGTTACATGTATTTGGTTAAATAGCACATTAAAACAACATTTCAATATAGTAATACGTTTTGAAAGAACTTTATAAAAAAGCAAACTAGAATTACATAAAGTAGCTGAAATAGATCCTGCTGCTGCACTGGTGATGCTTACACATTAATGTCTTGCTAATTCAAATCTAGTAGATATATATATTTTTAATCACAGCCATTTGCTTCATAAGTACTTGTTTTCAAGAGTACATTTACGTTTTGTACTCTAAGAATATTTGGATACTTGGAATATCTGTCGTAACACTTTTACTTTAAGATCAGATTCATCTCTGAAATGGTTATTTACATCACAGTCATGTTGTCAGTGCTTCACTCCACGCTGTTGATAATAGAAACCACACATTGATAAAATACTAACAGTAGAAAATAATATTCGCCCTCCACCCAGTGCAATTCTGGGAACTTACATCACTTGTTGCTCACAGTTTGGCAGCTCCGGAGGACACGGCAAAAGTTCCGGCTGCACGAAACTCTCCGTGCCTCCCACGACGGAACAGCTCACGTTCTTGTGCACAACGTAGGCGCACCAGTTTCTGCAGAATAATCACCAGTTAACGTTCAATGCGTAAACATTGCAGTGCGTATTGACGGCATTGCTTACTTTCCAATAAGAGTTACTTGATGATACATGACCCAATCAATGAGTAGACGTTTATATTATAAACACACACACATGAATTACTTACTTATTTCTTTGGCGCGTTCCAGAGCCAGAATATGATCTCCCCTGGAACATGTTATGTTGGAATGGTGTTCCACTGACGAGAGGAAACGTTATTAAAAAGTGAAAAAGTCCACAGATTCCGCGCTTCATTGTTAAAATGTTTCCCTTTCAAGACTCACAAGTAGTATTTGAGATTGTAATCAGCAGTGAAGGTCTGTGTTCCAATGATCAGTGAAGGCACCGCCGGCTGTTCCCTTTCTGCATTGCGCACAGTGTACAACCTCCTTCCAGCGTCCTTGGATGTGACGTTTCAGGACCCCCTCCAATACAGACAGAACACTTTTTTTGTTACACACACACACACACACACACACACACACACACACACACACACACACACACACACACACACACACACACACACACACACACACACACACACACACACACACACACACACACACACACACACACACACACACACACACACACACACACACACACACACACACACACACACACACACACACACACACACACACACACACACACACACACACACACACACACACACACACACACACACACACACACACACACACACACACACACACACACACACACACACACACACACACACACACACACACACACACCTCTAAAACTAAGATTATATTTTAAGTTTCACTAAGGTTATTGAGTAGTAATAATCACACATGGAAAGCGATATCTTACTTGTTTTTAATAGAAAGAATATACACGTTCTTTGAACGAAACGTCATACCTTGACATGTCATCATAAGTCGTTAAATAAAACAGTGTAAAAAAAAGAACAAATCTGTACAAAGGGAACAATAAGAACAACTTCACTAGAACACGTCATTAAGCCAAAGAGGTTTGCTTTCAAAATATCAGGTTGGAATTGTGGACCTCAGGCGTGGATCTCTGCTCGATCTCTTGGGATTGATGCCGGACGGCTCTCCAGCGTTATCAAGAGCCCGTTTCAATGGTCTGCCTGGGGTCGACACTAGACGTAGAAAACAGACTCGTTACAAATGAACTTGAAAATGAAAAATGAAAATATTTGTATAGGCTGCCCTTACTCCCAGATCAACAAACATACCAAGTTGTCTCTCAATCTCTTCCAGCTGCTTCTTTCTCTCCTCCATTTCTTGCACCTTTCTCAGCATTACAGGAGACTTCATGTCATTTAAGTGATGGTCACGATCCTTCGCTGCCTGATCCACCTTCTCCAGAGCTAAGCGTTGTTGAGTGAGCAGGTCTACAGAACAAAACGAGAGAATTTAGGCACAATTGCACTTATAAGAACACCAAAAAGGAACTATGAAATATGACTGAGAGATGTCACCTATGTGGTCCTTAAGTAAAAAGTAATGCTGTGAGAGGGGGGCTCCAAACACTTTTAATGTGTCGATTGGTAGGGCTTTGTTATTTTTTCCTCCAAACTTGCCCCTGGAGCTGACCCTGTCCCCCTGCCTGGTCAGGATGGTGGGACATGGCTTCTTTTTCTGCACCACCTGTAAGTAAAGGCACAGTTAAGTGGGGAAAAGAAAAACACAGGCTGCTGGATGTAGTGGCACAGCTTCACCCTCAGCATCACTCACCGCCTTTCTGTAGTTGTTAGCAGAGTCCAGGTCATCAATCAGAATTGTCTCTCCGAGGATGTTTTTAAAAGCTGCAAAGGAAAGGCAAACCGGAAACCGTCAAAACCGACAAATCTAAAACATTCCTGTTTTACTGCTTTACTAGTAAAACTTTCACAATCAGAGACATTAAAGCAGAATACATTATTTGAAATTGCTACGGATACATTTATTGGACAATCAACGTAAATATGTTCCATAAATATTCGAAGCAACTTTTTTTTTAAATTCAGAAAATCCCTAAATTGTTTTTTTTAATGTGGCACAAGAGGCCCACTTTCTGCTCCAGTGACGGTGAGGAAACACCTCCTCTCCTGTGAGGTCCCAGGTGGAACTATTTACCCAGCAGGAGTAATGGGGGCATGAAGGAAATACCCCAACAACAGCAAACACAAAAAGACCTGGGAAGTCTCCGGAAACCCACAGAAAACCTGGGCTGGATCTGCAATAACTAGGCAGAGTCATAGTGAGCAGTGAGCAGTGAGCAGTGAGCTCCATTGGAGGCCGCTCACCGATGTCACGGTCCCGGTCAGCGGTGTACTGCAGCAGGTCTCTGGCGAAGATCGGGTTTCCAGGGGGATCAAAGAGCATGCAGCCACTCCCCATGTGCGGCAACGGTCTGTAAGAAATTCATAACTTAGTAAAGGGACTGAGAGGTTCTAAGAATTATTATAAAAGGACCATACAAGTGTTTTTTGATTGATTTCCCGAAGAATCCCTGAGGTGGAAACATTTCCAAAACTAAAAAATATTCAGTTTATTATGATACATGATTGGTGTAATGACTCAAACAAAGAGGACTGGAATAGTTGCAGTTGCTGCTTTTTCCCCAAAATAATCAAAAAATGTATTAAATATTTTTGGGTTTGAGATTCCTGGTTAGACAATACGATACATATGGAGTATGGTTTGCTGAAAATAGCTTTTTCAAACCATGCAACACCACTGGTGTGATTCTTTAAGTAGCTGTCTTATTTATAATAATTAGTCGCTATTATCATTTAACCAAAATGAAAGAAATCATAATAATTCTCGTTTTGGACAATCAAAACTGGAGGCAGATGTATTTTCTGATTTTCTTACTTTAATTGCCCTAGTTTCAGAGTTTTGATGTGCTGGATTTCTTTAAATTTAAATGTACAGTATGTTATCTGATGAACGAAAGCAGGACCTCATATGTGTTTACAATCTATTTATAATTGTTTTTTTCCTCCTGTAATTTTTCTGCATGAATGTTCGTCTTGGGAGGGAAGTCCTTCCTCTGTTGTTCTTCCTGGAGGACATTTTCCTTATCCAATTGTTAAGGCCCTTAAGGCTAATTTCTGGTTTCCTAATATTGAAGTGTATAAATATAATTGCCTAAACTTCACAGAAGCTGTCCTTATTGGCTATTTGTTCAAGAAAGAGGTGCCACAAGATCTTTAAATGACTGTTTTTGTAAGGCTTGGGGGAAGGAGAAAGCTTAACAATGAAAGACTATAATCAAGGACGAACAGTAATCTCACCAGGAAATTCACGCAATAATGAAATGAATCGCATTGAAGTGTGTGGGCACAAATACAGCTTGCAAACCTTTTGGGCTCACAAAACACTGTATTTAAAAAAGGAATGCATCATGGACCCAGATTGTTTACCTGTTGCCAGGGTGCACATAAACACTGTCGAGGGCCATGACCTGCTGCCGGCCCCTGGTGTCGTCATAGATCCTCTTCGCTGCTTCGGTGGTTTTGGTGATGACACAGTCCATGTCGCCCTGGATGTGCCAGGAGATGACCCACGCAGCATGATCGTCCTGCACGAAGGCCAGGTGGCCGACCTGCATTCAGAGAGGTAAAGGGTTGAACACACAGCTCTGACAACAGTTTTCTCTGATACACATATTTCGCAGAAGCATTGATTGGACATATGTGCATCGAGGTCACTGTTTCCGGGAATTAAACTGGGGTTCAAAAGCTGCTAATCCAACAGAATTCCTTCTCCCCGATGATATTACCATTCCCAAAACATCCTGCTGCCCCTTGTAGTGATCCTGGAGGGAGCAAACTCTTCTGGGTGCTTTCATTATCTTATCAATTTCAGCACGCTTCCTTGTTATGAGTCTGTCAAAATGTGGAATCTACAACAAAACAAAAAGGAAGATATGTAAATGTCAGTTCTTGATTATGTGTATAGATGAGATCCTAATTTCAACATGTACAGAAAATATGTGTGTAGAGTTAAAATGGTACACATACGGTTTGTGCTGTTTCCATGTTCCTCCTGTCAAGCTCCTTTCTAATCGAAGTCTCTTTGCGACTTGCAGCGATGTGATGAGCTGTGAGGGAAGAAGCACTTGCAAATATGGACAATTTCAAATATAAATGGGTAGACACAAAAGAAAAGGCACGGAATGCTTAACTCTATACTCTCTTGGTACAAATTATAGTGTGTCCGTAATACCAAACGTTAAAAAAGCTGGTGTCAAACTAGTTGTCTGACTGAAATGTGATTTAAACCCAACTCTAAACACGTGTCTGGTAGAACAAACCATAGATACAAAAGATGTAATATAGTCTTACAGGTCAGCACATTAAGGAGTTGTCCATAAGTGTTAAATAACTCTTTATCTGCATGAACAGCAGTAGTGAGATCATCTTTCTTCTTGGACAGCTCAGACATTTTCCGTTGGTTGTCTGCATCTAAAACAGAGAGATAAAAGGAAGATGATTGTAGTTAAAATCACAGAAAGAATGCAGACTAATGTTGCACATAACTAAAACATTATTTGTGAAATCTGAGTCATATCTCATGCACCAATATTAGCCCCGGATCATACCATTGTAGAAGTGGAAGGGCAGCTCAAAGGGGGCCAGGGTGGGGGGGACCATCGGCCCTTTAGGTGTGAAGAGGAGGGTGTATGCACTTCCATTCTCCCCGGGGCTGTTCTCCATGAGAGCCAGCCTCTGCGCAGAATAAATGAAACGACAATGTGCATCATGGCGCCGATCCAAAATAAAGGTTGTGGTGTGTACTATGGCAAATGGTTACTCACGTTGACATGTGCCTTTCCTTCTTCCAAGCTAATTTCCAAACGTTTGGTTTTGCCTTCAAACAGAGGGATGGTTTGGTTGCTGTCTCCGCTACAGTTCTTTATAGAAATGACCACATTCCCGTTAAGGTCTTCCCCCGCTGGGTTTCCAGAAGAATCCTGGAATCAGACAAAGAAACCATCTGATAAACAGTCACTTATTTTAATGTATATAAAAAGGGAAAAGTGTTTCTGTTCTTTCGCAATAAAGTAGACATCCTTCTGAGGAGGAAATCTCACCATTATCCTCAGAGTCATATTCTCCACCAAGGTTCGGTTGGCTAACACCTTACTGTAGGAAACAACTGGGGTGGGTGGCTGAGAGGCGGGTCCCAGTTTGACAGGTTGATTGGCCACCACATTTATAGTGATCTACAGAGAGGAAACAGTGCCGAGTCATTCTTTTCAATGAGTCAGGATTATGATCTACTCACCTGAACAAACACCTTCCTGTTAAACAGACATGAGATAACATTATGTCATGTATTTTAGATTAATGCTGGGTGTGTGAAAAGTGCTGTGATGTTTCCAGATTTTAGGCTCCACCAACCTGTTCACTGAACAAGAGTTTAGCTCTTTCCAGTCGTAGAGAAAACTGGATCGTGTGTTTTCCAACTTGTTCTGGGATCTCTTTATCTCT